TAGAGGTTGTGTACATTGTGTTTTCAAGTAATTGTATTTCTTGGTTATTCCTGTGTGTTTTAAGATAATGATCTGAATTTCCTTACTTGCTCCACCATATTGTTGTTTTCTTTTCCTTTTGGTTCATTGATTTTGATGCTTGTGGTCTTGTTTAGCATGGACTTACATTGATTGGTTTTGTAAGGGAGATTGGTATTAGTTGGCTTGCATATTGATCTTCCTTTGACAATTCATGACAAAAAGGGAGAGAATTTTGAGGGGGAGTCTTTTTTTTTTTTAGTGTGTCGGGCATGTTTTTAAAATTTCCATCTATTCATGCTTCAAGATAATCCTTTCACATGTCTATTGCTTTCATATACCCTTGTGGCACTAATAGTTGTTTTGCAGATCATAACCTTTAGAAAGAAGTTTGTTTTTGTTGTTTTTGTTGGTTGTAAGAGGTTCGGGTGATTAGGATTTTATTTGTTAGGTGTGTTTTATCACGAAATTGCCAAAGGGGGAAATTGTTAGGTTTTTGTAATTAGCAATCCCGTTTGACAAAACTCCTTTCAGTTGCAATTTTATTCGCTTTTTTATTTTAGTGAAACTGTGAGAGTTTAGATGCGAATCCAACCTAAATTAAGCCTATGTAGAGAAGTTTGTGATTTTAATCCCTTCATGTCTGCCACTAAAATGCAGTTGAAATTGTTTAATCGCTTGAGCGGTCATTTGTGCGCTCGAGGGAAGAAAATGATCATCCAATACTTTTACAAAGCGCTTGAACTTATGAGAAGAAAGTTTTATTGCTCAAGCGGTGAAAGTAGCGCTCGAGTGGTTAGCCTATATGTTTCGCACCGCCATTAGTCATATCGCTTGAGCAGTGAAATGTGCGCTTGAGCAGTGAAATGTGCGCTCGAGCAGTTTTCGCGATTCAGTTTACTATAAAGTGCGCAGTTTGCAATTTGCAATTTTTAGGGTTTGATACGTCTAGATTTTCAGAGGAAAACAAAAAAAAAGAAATGTTTTCTATTGGAGGATGTTTTATGAGTTTTCTTGGTGTATAGAAGGTGATCGATTGATCAACAAATTATAGGTTGTCAAACATCAAAGGTTGTTTTTATTCTTTTATTCACAAAGAGAGATGCGTTCTTCAGTGGATTCCGGGAAACTTGGGCCTGAAGCTTTGGTGGATTTCGGAGTGGTTCATCATCATGGATTCGACATTAGCGTTGTGGATTCAACGTTGGGCAAGACAATTCCGAGGTGAAGACGGTGGTAGAAGAGACAAATTCGGGTTGGTTCAATTCAGGCGTGGATTCACTAGGCAATTGAGGGTACACTTGTGCAATTCCTTTTTGTCTTCTTAGTGGATTGTTTTGTGGCTTTGGTCCGTGATTTTTTTTAATCACAATTAGAGGCACTCCAATTGTGGTTTTTCCACATTAAATCGTTTGTTTATTTGTCTTTGATTGTTTGATTGTGATTGTTATTTACTATTTAAAATTGATACATAAACATAAATTAACCTCGGGAATTTTAGATTTTTCAATTGGTATCAGAGCAAGTCTCTCAATTTTTTATTTTTTGAAAACTATTGGAGCGAGATCTTGTTGATTTGTGATAATGGATTCAATTCGTCAAGGGAATTCTACAATTTGACCACCTTTATTTGACGGATCCAATTATTCTTTTTGAAAAACTCGGATGAGAGCGTTTTTAAAATCTATTAATGAAAAAGTTTGGCAATCCGCCATGTGTGGGTGGACAGAACCGATGATTACCATTGATGGAGTAATTTTCTCCAAACCAATTGATAAATAGGACACAACTAATTACCAAATAGTAGCTAGAATAGTAAAGCTATCAATTTTCTCTTTTGCGCCATCACACTCGAAGAGTTTAGTCGTATCTATTGGAGGGTGTTTTATATGAGTTTCCTCGGTGTATAGAAGGTGAACAATTGATCAACCAACTATAGGTTGTCAAACATCAATGGTTGTTCTTATTCTTTTGTTCACAAAGAGAGAAGTGTTCTTCAGTGGATTCCAGAGAACTTGGACCTAAAGCTTTGGTGGATTCCGGAGTGACTCATCGTCGTAGATTCGACATCAATGTTGCCGATTCAACGTTGGGCAAGACAATTCCGAGGTGAAAACGGTGGTGGAAGAGGCATATTGGGGTCGTTTCAATTTGGGCGAGGATTCACTAGGCAATTGAGGGTATCCTTGTGTAATTCCTTTTTGTCTTCTTAGTGGATTGTTTTTTGACTTTAACTCGTGATTTTTTTTTATCACAATTGGAGGTGCTCCAATTGTGATTTTTTCACGTTAAATTGTTGTATCGTTTACTGTTTAAAATTGATACATAATCACAAATCAATATCTCAGGGTTTTAGATTTTTCAAGAGGCATTAGGGTTGTATTCTACGAAATGCCTTTAGTAAAAGTTCGAAGATGGATGCCCTTAGTCTGGTGAGGTGACAACAGCTTTGCATGGTTAATGGCAATAGACAAATTGTCTTATCGTTATATTCCTTAAAAAGCTCAAAGCTTCAAATGGTTTAAAATCAGATTAAGCAAGTACGGACTTTATGTAAATTAGCTTAACACTAATATATAATATTAAAATTACATTAGCCACTCTTCACAATGGCACTAGATTGTGTCCCACTAGTCACACCATGGCGACACAAATACTTATTAGTAAAGAAAGTGTTAAGGGCTTGTCCCACCTAGCACGCATTGAGTGAACATCCTTTGGCATGGGCTCTGAGGAAATAGCAAGCATGACTGGTGCAAAGCCCCAAATCTAAGCCTAAGCCTTATAACTAAGTCCTCGTTTGAGAATTGACATTTTTAATGATTTTTTGGCTTTTTGACTTTTTTATAAGGTGGAATAAAGTTAATGTGTTTGGGAATAACTATTTTTAGTTGTATCGAAAGCCGTGAATTATTGAGAAGTTCGGCTTTTTATTTTTTTAGTAGTTTTTTGACTTTTTGACCTTTTCAATGGTTTTTTAGCTATTTTGGCCAAAAAGCCAAGTTGCCAAACAGGGCCTAGTGTCCCCAGCTAGGAACAGCATTTTCAGAATGTGAACCAAGTGTTCATGCTCAGTGCACTGATGCCATCACCTCGGAGGTACAATAGGGGTGCTACATATAGTTTACAAGTCATAACAAGGGAGCAAATGACAACCTATGAAGTATGGGTAGTCTGAAAATATTGCCGTACTCATACCAATAGGATTGCATGCGTACCGGGTACTCGAAATACGTATGGAATACTTTTTATACAGCGTTTGACACTTGGGTACACCGTGGGTACTTCATGGGTACGAGATGGGTACATTGAGGTACACCAAACTATGGGATATTAGTGGAGATACATTAAATTTATTTACTTGAAATTACAAATCTTTTACTTGATGTGCCAAAGATAAAAGATGTATTATTCAATGATGAAACTGATGGAAGCGAAAATTGAAATTTTAAGTTTTCAAATTTTGCTTAGCTTACTTTTGCAATGACACTTTATTTTTTAATTTCTCCTATTTAATGGGATAAAAATAGTTTATGAACTTTGTTTTGGTATTGGTATTTGTTAAGCTATGATTTCTCTTTCGGTTTTGTAATTTCTACTTTTAGCTTTGGTATTAAACTTTGATTTGTAAGTTGAATCTCACACTATAAATTATAAAAAAAATAAAAAAATAAAAAAAATTATTAGCATATGCTGTATCAATGTACCAAACCAGTATTCGTATCCGCACCCGTGCTTCATAGATGACAATAGAGGTAATATTCCTAGTCCTACCACTAGTTTCATTAACCAATACTCATAATTAGGGGTTGTTTGGGGTATGGGTTGGGCTAATTTAGCCCACAAAAAGACAAAATAAGCTAAAAAGTCAAAATATCACATCTAAATCATAATCATTTCACTTTTTCACTTATAACCATCACATCTAAACCAAAAAATAGCCAAAAATTTATCCCAAACAAAACTTTTTTAGACAGGCTAAAATAACCAAAAAGTCAGGCTAATTTTTTTTATCCCAAATGAAGCCTAAGTACATGCGGTGCCTAAGAAGCACGAACACAAACACATACACAACACGACACAAATATGCGGATACGAAAAATTATTATATGTCATGTATATAAACATTTAATTCAAAGATAAACAAAATGCAGTGTAACACTAATGTCTAAAGTCTAAAGGAGGAAAATAGGTATACATTTACATTGTTTTCTTTTATCTTCGAATTTCAAGTTACTTTATTCAAACTTTAAATGTGGTTTATGAATGTCTAAGTGATTGACATATGTTCTCCAAGTGTCTGAAGCGCGTTCGAATTCAAAAATATAGGACATGTTTGGACGTGTATCCAATAGGAGTCGAGGAGTGTTCGATTAGTGTTGAGTTGGTATATGATCTTCTTAGAAGTGTTCATGCTTCTTAGTGTGGTGCTAACCTGCTAATCTGACCCAATAGTAAAATCTCAAAAGATGCATGATCAGCTATAAATAGGCCCAATTCCCAACATCATGTGATCAAATTGGTCAAAGATATGATACTTGGACATTTCCTAGCGCAACCTCCTAACTTCAACCAACTCACCTTTCTTGTGAACTAGGCAAACAATGCAACTCACTTACCAACATTACCTCATAGAACCCATCCTTTCTGTCTAGCCCATTGCTGGTGCAGTTAAAATACATTTTGACACATGCTTGCTCCCATGCACCAACACATAGACATCCTAATTTCTTAATTCCCCTCCAAGAAAACTTATTTATCTTAAAAAAAAGTAAACTAAAATCACAAATACTGCAAAATCAATAGGTCCAAAAAAATAAAGAACAATGGCCAGACAGTAATTATCCCAACTACTGGCAACAAAATCAATATAACAATGTGCAAGCAATGTACTAGACATGCTTAAAGACCATATAAATCCTTGTATAAAAATATGAAAAGATGTCAAAAAAGTTAGAATTCGGACTAGCACAAGTAATTACCAGTTCTTGCAGCATTAACAATGTGCTGAGCTTCTTTCTCTGCGGTTAACAACAGCTGAATTCCATTCTGGCCCCTGTTGGCTTCCATACTTGCTTAAAAGTACTAAAGCACTGAAATTTAAAATGCAATTGATGAGATCAAAATGATGCCTGAAAAAGCAGAAACAAGATATTTCTGCATACAAATAATTGTGTGAGTTGCTTTACATTACAATGACAACAAGCTTCACTTACGTTAAATACCATCAATTGACAAAATGACATTCTATTTTGAAACTTTAGAAAAATTTAATGATTTAAGAGACATAGATACAAAGGTCAATTGCTTGGATCCACAATTCCAAAATATATTAACCTCTCTATAAAAGGACCTCATATGAAGCAAACTCATTTTATATAATAAAAGAGAGTGTAATTCAATTTCATTGTCCTTGCTCAATATTTTTATATAACTAGGCAAGAATTGAAACTTCCAAAGTTGCAATATTAGCATCATTTCAGTTGGAAACCAATTACAAATAAATCACATAATCAAAAGGCCTAAAAATGGTCGTGGTGATGAACACAGTGGATGATACCCAAATGTCAAGGATGCCTGCAGAAACTACTCTAGGATTTTGATTGAACAGTCTAAACCAACAGATTTCTGCTTGTCTTAGGGGAAAAAAAGAAAAGCTTTCCAAACACAATTTTTATTACACTTTCCAGAAAGATATTGAGAAACTGCTGTTGTTACTTTGAGAGCAATATGAACACAGCACTTCGGGCATAAAGGGCACATCAGAAGCAATTTTCCTATGGAAGCTGTTCTTTATACTTTTGTTTTCTCCTCCCTTTCCTGTTCACCCAATACTGTACCATGCTTTCTGACATTGCGTTAAACAAGCCAGCCTAATTTGCAGATTCTCAGACGAACTTGTATCCTTATTACATAACCAGTCGTTGGTTCACGCAAACATAAAACTCTTGTACTAGTTGACTCAATCCAATATCCCAGAGACAAGGCATTAAATATTGACCAAGACTGAAAATAACAAAGATTACTTCAAGAATCAAATGTGAAACCGTTTTTTCAATATCGAAAAGCAATCAAATCAAGAATTTCTGGGCAACTTCCACAAAAAATTAATAATCTAGAACAACCAGTCTATGAGTAAAAAAAAAAAAAAAAAAGACGCTGACCAAAAGAAAGGAAAAAAAAAAAGTGGGAAAATCAGCTATTTCCTGTCACCAAAAAACAAGGATTGGTAAAGAAAAAGCAAAAGAAACCATGAAAGCATTATGAAATGGTTATAATGATTGCAACCCTATGAAAAGATGAGGAATGCTACAAAATTATGAATAACTGCAATCATTAAGGATATAAGAATATAAATAATCCACAAGAAATAGGGTCTAGAATAAGCAGTGGATGATTTGAAAAAGAATTAAAAAAAAAAAAAATTACTTCCACAAGAGCTTAGAATTCAATACAACAATTAAACAATAGTACAGCTGGATACAGGCTGATAGTTCCAAGATGAGTTTTATCATGTTTTTGCTTACAATGCCACAACACCAGACATGGATAATTTACCCTATAAAATATTCTGCTACTGCAAATGCATGTACATCTAGTAAACATACCAATAACTGTGGATCTCGGCATGAGTATCACAACAGCTGGAATAACAATGGTTCAGATGTACATGTCTGAGATGCCAGCGTATTGTAATTTTTTTTTTCCCCCTTTTATCCCATAACTCCCAAACTCAAAACTAAAATTATTTGCAGAAGTATATTGCAAGGCAATTGTGCAGTCAAATGGTGAAAAGAGCTCTCTACACATTTTATTAAACAACTTAAATTATTTATTTTCCATATTTTAATTGTAATTTTGCGATTTGATTTCCAAAATTTTATTTAAACTCCCAAGCTATATATATATATATATTTTGTTAAATGGCTAACTTCTCTAGAATGAGATTGAAATAGGCTTGTTCACACTGCAGAAGCATACAATTAGGCTTTGACAGACCAAGAAAGAAACCCAAAAAATGAACAGAAGAAAAAAAACCAAACCCCTACAAAACACACACACAAAATGTCTCAAATTAGACACAGTACAACTGGGGTTTAAATGGTTAGGGGCAGGGTGGGAAAATGAAGGCAGAAAAAGCTTGGTTGCTAGCTCTCCCTTGTGTCTTATGTGGCTCATATGGGGTGAGCACAAGGAGCCTTTTGAAAAGTGGAGGAGCCTTTGTATAGACTAAAGAGTTCCTTTTTGCCTATTTTGAATAGTTGGACTTCAAGGAAGGTGCTTCCCAATCTTTAACAAATTGTAGATTTAGTTGATTCTCTTGGGCTATGTGTGGATCATATTTTGTATAGTTGGACTTCAAGGAAGGTGCTTCCCAATCTTTAACAAATTGTAGATTTTGTTGATTCTCTTGGGCCATGTGTGGATCATGGATTTGGGTAAGGATTTGAAAATGGAAAAGGGAAAAGTGGGTGAAATGTAACTATATTTTCACCCACACTTTCCCTTTCTATTTCTAAATCCCTACCTAAATTCATGATCCAAACACAGCCTTGAGTTATAAGAATTTGTTTTTTTGTCTTTCTGAGTGTACATGCCTTTTGAGTGGGTTTATCATGATTTAACCTTCTTTTTGTACATAGTAGCATCCCTTTATTATGCTCTTTTTATAATACAATTTACTTATAAAATAAAAAAATAAAAAATAGACAAAAAATCAACATCTAAAGGAAACCTACAAAAGGGAATCAGCTAACACCTTTTCATAGAGATCTAGACTGCCAAACCACTCTATACCATTTTAAAAGCCAATAAACCACACAATTTAAGTTAGAAACCTCAATTTCAAAAACCCAGTCACCTATATTTCAAAAACAGGACACTCATCCACAAATTCATCTCAACTCTGACCTCAACCAGATATGTGATAATCAAAGAATTACTGGTCAAACAAATTGTCATGAACATAAAGTAAATCCACCATATATAACCATAAACCATCAAATCAGGGTATAATATAGCACCACCCATTAACGCTTCTTAAGCAAACAAAAAAGGGGTTACCACAGAAACATACAATTGAAGTGTGATCAACAAGTTGTCATTGATTAATTATCTCCAATAACAACACATAATTAAGATTTTCGGCAAGTTATTAAACTACGGAGTGTTGAAGCAGATCAAGAAAAGTTCAGTGACCCTTAATCGAAGATCTAATCTACTAATAAACCAACAAAAGTAAATCAGAAGTTGTGAAAAACAAACATTAGAACAGAAACAGTGACAAACATTATGATCGAGAGATCGAGAGAGAGAGGGAATAAGAAATTTTGGGTAAGAGAGAAACGTACCAGCAGAAGCGGAGAATGGTCAACGAATGAACTAGAATTCAGGAGTAGTGCTTTGTTGATGAGTTTGGACTACGATGTGAACCAGAGAGCTGAGAGAAAGCTGAAAGATTGATTGCAAATTTACCTCTGGAATTAATCAATTAATCAAAATGGATACATGAGACCCTGCTTTATTTTTTGTTTTTATACTGATGCCTAACCAATTACGAGAGTACGAACAAAAAATGAAAGGAAAAAAAAAAAAAAAAAAAGGAAAAATAAGGTATATAAACGTGCTGTGTGACAAAATTGAAAAGTAAGGTGCTGTATTTGGAAATATTTACAGTTTATTGTTTTTAATTTAGAAAAAAACCATTAAGCATGTTTATATTTATTTTGGATAAAAATAAAAATAAGAAATACGTTTAGCAAACAAGTATTTAAAAAATTTGTTTAGAAAACATGTGAAAATCGAAGGTTGTGGGAAGTGGTTGTCGACGGTTTAAAATGGTGGCCTCAGGTGGGTTGGCCACAGTAGATAGTGGATTAAGGTGGTTGTCGCTGGTGAGAAACAGAAAGCAGTGGTTGGAGGTGGTTATTGACCACAGAAAGTGGTAGCGAAAATGATTGTGAATTGTCGTAGTTGGTAACCGGTTAGCCATTAAGGTGGAAGTAAAAGTGATTTTCAAGAAAAGATGGTGGCCGAAGGTGGTTATTGGCCACGTGAAGTGGTAGTTGAAAATGATTGTGAATGGTTGGAGTTAGTGGTTGGTCAGTTGCTTAAGGTAGTAGTTAAAGGTGATGTGCAACTCAAAGTCGTAGTCCTCCATAAATTACATCCACCTTCTTTGTCTCAAATTCAAATCTTTTTGCGAAAACAGATATTTCAAACTCTTGTGATCGGAGAATGCATCAGATCTCTCACCATACAAGTAATGTCTCCAAATCTTCAAGGCAAAGATCACAACTGCTAGCTCTAGGTCATAGATCGGATAGTTTCTCTCGTACGTTTTTAACTGTCATGAGCCATAAGCTACTACATTTCCTTTTTGCATCAAGATACAACCCAAGCCTTCTCGTGACGTATCACAATACATGGAATAGCCCAAACCCCTCTCTAAAATAATCAATATTGAATCCATAACACGTGTTGGACTGGACCGAGCTAGAGGTAGATGAGGATGCCTCGTATAAGGAGAGACTAGTTAGAGTTTTGGACACTTGAGACCAAGTCTTGTGTGGCAAGATAATTTCTTTGGTAAAGGTGTTATGGAGGCATCACGGGGTTGATGAAGCAACTTGAGAACGTGATGTGGAAGTCCGCGAGAAATATTTGGACCTATTTGTTAATGTTTAAACTTGTATTGAAAATCTTATCATGCTAATATAATATAAATATTGTATACGTTTTGAAAATGTAAATTGTGTAATCAGTGCTGAGAATGTGTTTATCACGATGGTAAAAATGAATGACCGGTGGATGGATCATGGTGGCGAAAATGAATTACTATCATTGTTGTAATTGGTTTAAACTTGGTTTTAGTGTTGATTTAAAAATTTCGGGGACGAAATTCCTTAAAGGGAGAGGTTATAGCGATCTTGATTTGGACCTGACCCATTTGTTGCTTTGAATCTGGGAAACTATGTTTGTGACGATTGTCCTTTCCTCTTTGTATTTGGTTTTACGCTTCACGGGTCGACGCCATTCTTGTTGGTGCCAACATTGCCTTCTCTTCTTGGTCTTGTTTTGCTCCAAGGGTTGACACCAGCCTTGGAAGGGTCGACACCTTCATGCTGTTGTGTTCCTACTTAGCTACTGAAACTTAGGGTTGACACCAGCCTTTGGTAGTGTCGACATTTGCTTTGTGTTGTTGGTCTCTGGGATCGACACCAGTCTAGGAGGTATCAACCCTTGTTAGCTGCTGGAATTGAAATTAGCTCCTAAAATCTGGTGTCGACACCTCTAGCCCAAGGGTTGACACTTTATCTGCTACTAGTGTTGACCTTTTGCTATTTCTTCCTGAGGGTCGACACCTCTGGCTTGAGGGTCAACCCCTGTGTTCTTTTCCCAGATTTTTGTGTGGTTTTAGGCTCTATTTTTTGGGGGTTTTGACTTATTCTTTTGGGTTGACTTTGAGACTTTATTTCACTTTAACCTAGTACTATAAATAGGGTCCTCATTTACTATTTTCCATTACTTGATCTTCTCTTTCCTCTATAAACCGTGACACTCCTCCCTTTCTAAACTCACTTTTTTCACACAAGATCTTCAGATGTACTCATTTAGAAGCATCTTCTTACCTTGCTCCTCAAGATTAAGCGTAGAGCTTGTCGAGGGCTTTGTTTTGATCAAAGCAAATCGTCGTTTCGTCTCTGTCGACTTTTGGATTTTTCTTCCTTCTTCCTCATCTAAGCTTGAGGTAGGGATTTTCTACACTTTATTATGGTTTTTAACTTAGGTATTTGCTATTTCTAAAATAAGTTTGTGATTTGGGAATTTTGGTCAAAACTAGGATTTTGGGCTTAAAAATCAAATGGAGGGTTTTCAAATGAGATCTTGAAAATGGTTATGGAATTGGGAATGAGGTTGAGTTGTGTTAAAGTGGTTGGTTTTGACACTTGGAATTGATTTTGGAAAAAAATGAGGGCTTTGCCCTAAATATCTTGAATGTTGATTTTGTATAAATATATAGAGTTGATGTTGGAAATGTGAAATTGGGTGAATATTGATAAGGATGGTGGAGTTGGGTATGTATTACCACTCACTTCTTGGAATTTGGAAAGTGATCTTCATGGAAAATTGTTTAACTATTTAGAGATATCTGTTTTGGGCTATCGGTGGAGGCTAGTTATGATTGTTGTTGAAATTGCATGAGGATTTAGGTGAACTAAAACGATTTTTTTATTATTATTATTCATTTGCATTGAACATTGAAAATGTTATTATTTTGAGAAAAATAGGTGAATCTGGGAAGTGAATGTAATCTTGTTGAAATAAGTTAGCCTGAGTATCCATGGTGAAAGTCCTAAAAGCCGCGTATATATATGGGTGCCGATCCTGCGGGCGAAATTTCCGTGAAATGGCAATAGTAGTGCTTTTACAGCCTACGTTTACATGGGTCCGGGTTGCGGTTTCCTCTGGACGAAATTTATGGGAAATGTTGTATTGTTTTGAAATTTCCAAAATGTGATTCACTGACTTGTTTTCTAAAGTAATAGAAGTGGTTATGAATTTTGATATAAACTTGACATTGCATGGTTTGAAAGGGAATATAAAATGTTTTGTATGAGCGTTGCATATGCATATCACCTTATAGCTCTGTTAAACTTCATAAATTGTGTTGGAGAACGTGGGAAAAACATTTTAGGTGCTAGCGATATGCCGCCACCAAGCTAATAGTTTGGGAGAAATTGGAGCAAGGGCTTCATTGTATGTATTTGTTATACTTCTTTTTGTACAAGCCAAGTGTGGACACTCCATTTTTTATCGCTGCAAGGCTCGAGCGCTTTGCTCGGTACACTTGATGATGAAAGTGGTATTGTGCGTGGTTCGAGGTCTCAACGAAGAAGCCTTGTTTAAGCTTTGAAATAACCCCAAACCTTCCATATTCCCACTGATCATACCCAAGAAATTGATTTTTACACCTTGTGCCACCCTGTGTTAAGGCTGAAATAGAAAAACAGGGAAATTCATTGAGGGCCGGCCGGGCTTTGGTAGCGAGAAACACTGTTCTGGGTGGGAGGCCGCCAGCTATCCATTTTTGAAGATATTTATGATGTTTCTTGCTTAAATTCTATAAATACAACCATATACCACTGTTTTGGGGGTTGAACAATTGAGAGAAAACCAATACACATAGAGAGAGCTCCTTCTTCTTCCTTCTTTCATTGCAAGCTATCTTTGAATTAACCTACCTTCCTTGTATCATCTATATACACCATACACAACCTTGACTCATCATCTTAGAACTTGGTTGACCCTTGAGAAGCATAATTCAAGTTTGAGAGTGTGTCAAGAGTGAGTTTGATCATCAACCAAGACTTACTCCATTTTAAGAGGTATAAGCTTGTAATTCTTGTTCTTGCTTTTGCTTCCTTCATTTTCTATTTATTTCTTGTATTCTTGGGCTGTTTTGCATCCATTTTAAGTGTTGGGACTTGGGTTTGGATAAGCTACCAAAGGTGGTAAGGTTAACACCCTTACTTGCACCTATCTTCATTGCTCAACCCTTGATTCCTTAACTCTCTTTTCTTTTGATTTTTGAACTGATTTTTAGAGTTGAACTAAGGCCAAAAAACATGGTTTGAAGTTTTGAAATTGGAGGGGTTGGCCACCTCCCTTTGTTTTTACTTATATAGTTTTATTGTCTTTATTTTTTGTTTTGTTTTTTGAGTTCTTTTCTTCCATTTTCAGCCACTGTTTTGGCTTATTAGAGACTGTTTTAGGGCTGTCCTAATCTATTTAATTGATTCAAGCTTTGATTAGTTCCTTTGTTGTAGCATTGGTCATTGTACATGGCTTGTATTATGTTGTTCTTAGCCTTTCTTTCTCTAACTTTCATGTTAATAACCTCATTTTAAGAATCAAATTGCCATTCATTTTTTTAATTTGAGAGTTGTTTCAATCGGTTGACGGTCATTCAACACATGAACTAGAGATTCATGCTTAATGGCTTAATCTCTACGGGGATTCATTGTCATCGGCATAATCTCTCTTTCATGTTGAGAATTACTTCCCGTTTGACACTTCTCTCCTTTTAGAGGACTTAATCATCACTTCGGACAAATGGACTAAAGCATGGAAATGACTAAGAGAATTGGTTTAAAAGCAACCAACACATATAAAGAAAATAAGTCATCTTGCTTGGGCTTGGCCGAACGTTATGCCAAGTTTATCAAGTCAGGAGTGGTCATACGCTAATTCATGGCGTTTTGATGATCCTTATAGTGTCTCTACTTCCTTTTTTTGAGTTCTTTCCATGATAAAGAGGGAGGAGTGGTCATATTCATTGCATTAATTGACTTTTGTCCAAAATTGTATCCGAAATCATCAATCAACTTGCTCATTGATGGTTTTGGAAACAATTCTAACCTTCTCTTGAGGCTTTCCCATGACAGAGAAGGAATGAAGGGACAAACAGAGCTTGAACAACTCTGTCTGCACTGTTTTCACTTTAGAACATGAAATAGAGTT